GGGAGTTCCGAAACAAGATCTAACACTGTTCTACGTATCGTGCGTGAGATCTGTTATTATTTATTCAGTACCTGTCTTTTTCAACGGTCCCCCCCTGTACTTAAAGAAAGAGCTAGAACGGCTCGAGAAAAGAGCAGTATCAATAATAACCTCAGGAAAGTGCGACTCGGCAATAGAGGTGGGGTTAACACCCATTTTGGAGCATTATTATGTACTATGTAGCAGGCTTTTTGATAACATTTTCAGTGATCCAAACCATAAATTGAAGGCGCTCCTTCCACCAGACTATGACAGCTCACGCTATAACCTAAGCTAAAGACGACAGCGCCTTTTTAATATGCCAAAGCTTTGCACGAACAGAACAAGTAATACTTTTATATATGCGATGTCGAAACAGTCCGGGCTGTAGTTTAATCCCACTTATATTCATGCTTTATATTTTAACATATTTCAATATGAATATGTTATATAGAATTTTTAATATTATCTTAAAAATCATTTTTCGACTTATTATCTAGGATTCATTTGTAATTTTCAAGTATTGTAAAGTTTTTGTAAATAATTGAGTAATTCAAATAGAGATGTGCCCCATTCACACCAACTAAACATGTCTAATTTAAAAAAGCTTTTAGAAATGAAAAACAGACATGGAGAACTGGGACACGGCCATTTATGCAGAATCTAAATGAACTTCAACATGTTATACATAATTTGCACTACATTTGTAGTGAACTTAACTCAATAAGCAGCTTTATGTGGGAAGCAATCTTAAACTGTTTACTAACCAACTTTTAAATATATTTAAGACTTGGTGTGAATGGGACATTAAAAGTCGACTTACTCAACTTCCACGCATGGAAAAAAGCATTTATCAAAGCTTCTTTGTTAAGTAGATCCGTCGTTTTTACTAGACTAGACTCTCAGGCACTAAGGTTTTTATATGAAGCAATTGCAAAAAAATTTACATCTATAATCGGTTTTTAACTTTGAATATTTGTTTTCTTTGGAAGAGGCTTTTTAACTGTTTTTAACATCTTTGTTAGTTAGACATCCTTCGTTTTCGCGGGCGCTTTCCTGGTACTAAGAAGTCAGCGTTCTTGTAGTAGTCGAAGACATTAGAGACTAACTGGTTCTCATCAGCGACTTTATAGTTGTCGCGGAGGGGGACTTCTGGGTTATCGTACGGGGCTCTATAGTTGCCGAGGGGGGCTTTTGGCTTGTTGTTGTTGACCCTAAAGTTGTCGTATGACAATCTATAGTTGTCGAAGCCGGATCTGTAATAAATCTCCGGAACTATTCGATTGTCGTAAGTATCGTACTTTTTCTGGGGCAGTGTTTGGTCCTTGTATTCTTCTCTGTTGTTATCATACTGCACGTTTTGGCTGTCGTGGTCGTCCGAGGTAACTTGATACTTGTCCAGGAGAATTCTTTGTGGTTCTCTCTTCCTACCTTTAACATTACTGTGGCGGAATCCCCAGCCATCGCACCGAGTAAAGAACATAAGAAGCACTGTCAATGTCATTAAGGCAAAACCCCACTTTGCCGTCCCCATTCTGAAACAAAAAGCCAAAATACAATAAAATAAAATGCCTCATTTCTCCCGTCATAAACATCATTTTAAGACTTCAGTAAGAATCAAGAAAACTAATAATTACGCTCTTAGTATTTAAGGCAGCTATAGTCAGGGGCACCTAACGAATGTTTTCTGTAAATATCTGTTCGAAGGAGCAAATATTGCCTCGAAATTTCTATAGCAAAAGAAAGGCTAAAAATTGCTGAGTAACAGTTCCATTCGTCTAAGATATTCGGAGTTTTCCGATGAACTTGGATTTTTCACATTTGATTTCCAAGATTTGGAAGGTTATTGGCAAAAAAAGTCACGTGGAAATTTCGGTACAAAGAAGAATCATCCCCTAGCTATAATTTTGTAATGAAATAACATAAATTCGAACCCAGATCTCCCACGGCCAAGTGTAAAACAGAGTGAGATCTGGGTACGAGATTAGAAAGAACATGCATGGTTACTTCGGGTGCACCCTCGCAGTTTCGACAAGACCCGTCGGGATAGCTAAAACTTTAAATCGAGACGGCCAAAGTTCCCCTAAAACATACAGATAAAAATAGTTTTCATGGCATGCTGGCTCTAAATTAACCAAACGGGCTTAGAGAAAACCACCTTTGACATTAATTCCGACTTGTCCGGAAAGATTCGGTCGTTGGCTGCCACTGTATA